AACTGGAAATCCCTTGGTATCTGTCAGCCCTTCAAGGTAGATCAGACAAAGAAATCAAAATCATGTAGAATGGCAGTATGTTTATTATAAATCTATATTTAAAAATCTAGAAAGTCTAAATGCACTTCTCCCCTTTCTCCCTTTATCTTTGTCAGAATATAAAAATCTGTGTACTGTATCTCATTCATTTATACAGTATCTCTTATTATATGGTTTATTATATGTCATTACTATAGCTTAAAATGTAATGGTAGGCTATCATATTTTTTGTGTGGTTTTGACATACAGTTTTGCCTAAACCCAACCATTTATATCTTATTTGATGTATCAAATAAGATATAAATGGTTGGGTTTAGGCAAACCAGTGATTAAGCATGACTTGCTGTGAAGTGTCTAGGTGTTTGGTGTACTTTACAAGAGTACTGGTTTCCTGGTGTAAAATATGTAGGTAAATCATATCACTTGATCACCATTCATCATAGCAATAATTAAGAAGTCGAGAGATTTTTAACAGAAAAGACAAAATCTTGTTTATTTAACTTTCAACATTCCCCTTCAGTGTCATTCTGCATTTATTTAAATTAAACCTTGCGTGGTGTTTTATTTTAATAAATACTTTTCTACAGGTTTTCCTCAAGTGTCCCTTGGGTAAAAGTGTTCTGTAACAAATACCATTTGAAAGCCACTCCTCCTAATGTTTACTTTTGTTTGAAACATGTGAAGTGCATTGCAAAACCGAAAGAAGAAGCTGTGTACTGTATGTATATAATTTTGACATGTGTAAATTAAACTGATTTATGTTAAAAAGCAAAGTTAAGGTCGTTCTAAACACAGGGGGTAAGTAGACATCTTTGCCCTGCTTATCAGGAGGACGCTGCCACTTGGGTATGGTACCACGTGCCACCGTTTCTACCATCATCTAAAGCAGAACTTCAGGATGGAGCAGTAAAGCACTGCCATTCCAACAGTGACACCCTTTCCAATGAGTCAGACAAGGTGAAGAAGACCAAAGCTGGGTGTGCACAATGGTATAATTAACTAAACAGGTTGTGCTTGGAAGTTTCCCTGAAACGAAATAGCAGGGATGTAGGAAGCATGTTGACCAACATACATTTATTTACAAAGTTCCACCCACATGCATGAAGCAAATTTAGGTTCTTAGGTTCTTTAAACTCTGAAAGAATGTAGGAGTAATGGGTAATTTGAAAACCTCTTACAATGAATCCTCTTCCTGAAATACATATAAATATATATGTTTCTTTCATCATTAATAGGCAATGTTACTAGTTATAATCTGTTTTCTGAAACTACAGAGAGCCCTTGGTTAATGACTGCCCTGTTTAGTGATTGTTTGAAGTTACGATGGAATTGAAAAAGTAGCTTTACAACCAGTCTTCAAACTGAAGATCATTGCAGTCCCCATGATCATGTGATTACCCCTTGATGTGTTATGATGGTGGCAGTGTCTCACAGTGATATGATCATTTGTGCTCTTCATATCTTCCAACAAGCAAAGACATTGGGGAAGCCAGCAGGAAGCTGAAAGTCATGACCATGTGAAGTTTTGCTTAACCACAGGTGATTTCCAGTGGAGCTGCTGTCATATATCCAGTACAGGCATATGACATTTCACTATATGACTGCAGTGTTAATGAACTTTCCAGTCCCAATTGTATTTTGAGGACTACATGTATTGATTCCCCCCCACCAAGTAAATAACCAAGATAAATAATAGGATGGGTAGTTTGTTTGTTTTGCTGGCAATTTATTTATTTAATGTGTTTAATAACACATTGATGAAAACTAATTTAGTCTACAGACCTATGCATATGTATGAGAGAGTAAGCATCATTACCTATTGCAGAATTTACCCAGCGTCAAGTCATTGCTCCACATTTTTGATGGAAGGATTTGTAGGCAAGATAACTGCCCTATTTCCTAAACATTATGAAGAGATGCAGATGATATAACACTCTGCTTTTAACCCTTCTCCATTTCTCTTCCCTACCAACAAGCTTTCAATATTTATTTTTTCTGGGGCAGTGTTTCCTAAACTGGGCAATATTTATTTATTATTAAACTTCTATGCTGTTCATAAGTGATTCTCAGTGAGATACAACAGTGATTGGTCTCATTCGAGAAAATGATGAACTCACATACAGACGGAAGGTTGTACAACTTGCCTCGTGGTGTAATCTGGAACTGAACACACTCAAAATCGTAGAAATGGTGGTAGACTTTTGAAGAACCCCTCCATAGTACCACCTCTTACAATACTAGACAACACAGTATCAACAGTGGAGACCTTCAAATTTCTAAGTTCTATTATATCACAACACCTAAAATGGACACCTAACATCAAAAACATCATCAAAAAAGCACAACAAAGAATGTTCTTTCTGCACCAACTCAGAAAAGCTCAAACTGCCCAAGGAGCTGCTGATACAGTTCTACAGACGAATTATTGAGTCTATCATCTGCACCTCTGTAACTGTCTGGTTTGGTTCTGGAACCCAAAAGGACAGACACAGACTTCAGAAGATAATTAGGACTGCAGAAAAAACAATTACTACCAACCTGCCTTCCATCAAGGAGCTGTATACTGCATGAGTCAAAAAGAGGGCTGTGAAAATATTTACAGACCCCTCACATCCTGGACATAAACTGTTTCAACTCATTCCCTCAAATCGACACTATAGAGCACTGCACACCAGAACAACTAGACACAAGGACAGTTTTTCCCTGAACACCATCACTCTGCTAAACAAATAATTTCCTCAACACTGTCTATTTACAAAGTCTGCACAACTATTACTGTTAATCTTCTCATCATTCCTTATCGTGCATCCCCTCCCACTTGTGACTGTATAACTGTAATCTCGTTGCTTATATCCTTACGATTTATATTGACTGTTTCCTAGTATAATTTGATTGCTCATTGTACCCTATGACTATTATTAAGTGTTGTACCTTATGATTCTTGACGAATGTATCTTTTATGTACACTAAGAGCATTTGCACCAAGACAAATTCCTTGTGTGTCCAATCACAGTTGGCCAATAAAGAATTCTATTCTATTCTATATGTGGATTTCAATTCCCAACTCAGCCTGCATGGACCAATTTATGGAAATAAAGAGGAGCAATGGCTGCTAACCTTAATGGCAGTTTGAAGGCCATCTCCGGGGAGACTTCCTTGTATTGTTGGCTGGCCACTTGAGAAAAGACTGCTGGATCTTGAATGGCCAGGGCTCCAATCCAGCAGGGAACTGCTTAAGAACTCATGTACATCTTTGATCAATAGGACATCTTTCTCTAACAAGGAACCTCTGGATATACTGACAAAAGCTTTTTCTTGCTGGGTAGGAATTGTGGGAGCTGGAATTCTAAAAAGTATGGAGGCAATTAGCTGGGAACTCCACAGCAAACATATTCTAGAAGGATTGGTAGAGAGAAGCTTGTGAAGCACTCGTGAAGCTTCTCTTGGTTTTTCACCTACAGGTAGTCTCCAACTTACAACAGTTAGTTTTGTGATGGTTAGAAGTTACAACAGCATTGAAAAAATTGAGTTATGAAATGAGCTATGACACACTTTACACTTCTGGTCATTACAGCATCCCCATGGTCACATGATCAAAATTCAAACGTTTGGAAATTGACTCATGACATTTGCAGTGTCCCGGGGTCACGTGATCACCTTTTATAACCTTCTGACAAGCCAAGCCAATGAGGAAGCCTTAACAACCCTATTAGTAATTTAACAACTGCCGTGCTTCACTTAACCAGTGTCAAGAAAGGTTGTAAAATGGGGGCAAAAATCATTTAACAAATGTCTCACTTAGCAACAGAAATTTTGGGCTCAATTGTGGTTGTATGTCAAGGACTACCAGTATGCAACCTTCACTCACCTTACATTACTTATTTTGTAGTTTTAATTCAGAATGTTTATGGATACCTGTGCTTAAAAACCAATAACTATGAACAATCCTATGTGAGAAAGAAAAAAGTGGGGAGAATTTAGTAAGCCTCTGGATGTTATTATCCATCTGGGGTGGCAAGAATGCAAATAGCCTCTGGGTGGCGGTGAAGAGCTATGGAAAAGTCTCTGCCGTCATCTTGTGGCTGTCCGTCCACATTTGGCACCTCAGATCCGAAATGGCTATTTTATAAAGTATTGAACGGATATGCCTCACTGGTCACATCATCCCCTAACCGGGTTTGCGCAACAGAGAACGAAAGTAGAATTTGGCGGATGCCTTGTACAAACCCGGCTGTTGAATCTCTATTAATCTAAGCCGCGCAACCATAGCAGCTCGAAAGGCTTTGCTTTTAAAATCTTGGGGTGGGGGTGGGGGGGGGTCGTGAGTTGGCGAGGTCATTTCATTGGAATTATTTTGCCAAGCGGAGCTGGGCTGGATAGCGCTGCCCTTCTCCACGGAGACTTGTACGATGCCGGGCTGCTTCTATGATTTCTGCCCCTTCCTGCCATACCTGGGGAGGGGAGATATCTTAGGAGGACCCCTCCGTTCAATATTTGGGCTCTGTTAATTACAAAGAATTGAGAAATGAAAAAGAGGCAGCGAGAATAAACGTGAAAAAAAACTGATGAGGAAAACCGGGTGAGCCAATAGAAGAAAAATCTGCCCGAGAAAAGAGAAACAAACAAACCAACAAACAAAAAACTTATCAAAAGGAAACACAACACACACAAAACCCTCCCCCGTCAGCGTCAGTCGAATGAAACAACTCCCCAAGTCTGTACCGATACTCGAGCGCATGCGTACGGGTCTGATTACGTCACTCCCACTTCGGCTTCGACTCCCCCGTCACTTCGTCATTCTGTGTTGCAAGCCGGTGCTGATTTCCTTGTTTGCTGCGCTCGCCCGTGCTGTTTTTTTTCCCCCTCTCCCTCCCCCTCCCGGCACGGCAACCGAGTGACTAAGCCCACCCCTCGGCTTACGTCGATGCTTTGGCGTCGGTTCGCCAGCCCCCCTCACTTCTCTCCCTCCCACCGGCCGTTTCCACGAAGGACTGAGCCATAGACCGGGCCTGGGCAGCTGGGTGACCGGACGGGTTTCCGATTCTCCGACCGGGAGCTCCCTAGGAAGTCTCGCTGGACGAGGTGAGTCCTGGGAAATGGAGAGTTTAGTGGGTTGGAGGCGTCCCAGTTCCGGGTCTCATACCTGGACCTGCTCCAGATGGCTCCCGCGACGTGATTCCCACTCGGCACCCTAGTGCCCCCCTCCTTGCTTTCCCTCTCCGTCTCTCTTCCACCCCCGCGCTCCCTTGTTTCCCAGCTCCGCTCCAACATACGGTCTCCTGGGAAGCGCCCCCTCTTTGGTCTGACTGCGGTTTCCCCCAGAGCCCACTCCGGCTTGAACCTCTTTCCCACTCCAATGAGTTGCGCTCTTTTCTCTTGATCCAGTTCTCTTGTCTCTCCCACCGCACCCCAGGGGTTTCCCATCTTTTCTCCCCACCCCTTTATTCTAGGCTGACTGACTCCCCCATCGCGTCCATCTCTCTTTGTCTTCCAGCCACACTGTCCTCCCCAGCACCAGACCGCTTCTTCCTCAGCCACTCAAGAGATCATAACTCCTCTTCCTCCCTTCCTCTCTGCCTCCCACTCTTCAGTTGATTTGCAGTTCCTTCCACAGCTACTCTTGTGTTTCCCTCAACTCTTGTTTCTCTGGTAGTTTCTGACTCTTTCTGTCTATGACCTCTTCCCTTCCAAGCCATCCCTCCTTTTCCGGCCTTGGTTACTTCCCTTATCCCTTGACTTTTCATTTTCTTTCTTTCTTTCTTTCTTTCTTTCTTTCTTTCTTTCTTTCTTTCTCTCTCTCTCTCTCTCTCTCTCTCTCTCTCTCTCTCTCTCTCTTTCTTTCTCCACCACCAAAACCACTCCACAACTTCTAATCCACAAAAAAACATTTCCTTTTCGTCTCAATTCCCTAGAAATGGTTTCGATATCCATACAGCCTGTCCCTTATCTTACATCACAGGAATTGGCCAGCTGGCTGGGGTTGCTGGAAGTTGTACTGTCATTCAGCTGTCTCTGAAAGCCACAGGTTCTCCAGCCTCTTTACTAAAAGAATTGGCAAGAAATAGAGACCTTCTGGCACACTTAACTATGGATATTTTTTTAATACTTAAATGGCCCTTAGGAAAGTTCTTGCTATTCTATGTTTTTTCTTTCACTCTTGATTCATTCACATGCAGACTTAGATTTCTTATTTTACCCCTGGTCTCTTCATCTTTACTCTCATTGTTTTTAATGCCTGAATATATGTTCTAAGGGGGAAAATAATACGGACTGGTTGCACAAGGTTGTTGTAAGGATTTCAGCTGATCAGTACATGGAAAGCAATTGGAGCAGTCAAAAGCATTGAGGGTGTCATCTTACCCTTCTCTTCCTGCCTCCTGATCTTCAAGTTGTTTGCTTTCCGCCTGGTCTTACTGCCTCCATCTTTTATCCCCTACATCTGGCAGCTTTTCTACAATCCTATTTTGTAGGATTATGTAAATATTAAATTTACTGATTTGATTTGAAATATGCTTGAATGAATTGTTGAATTAAATTGTGTTTCCTACTGGAACTGGAAAATGTTATTTAATGCCAATGAATTCATTTGGATATTTCTACATATGGAGAAACAGTTGTTGATTTGGAAATCTGAATTGAAGCACTCTGAGTTAATATTTCCACTTAAGTGCTTAAATAGAATTGATTTGACAATTCAAATCAGAATTTAACTGATGTTCATAGTTTTACCTCACAAATTACTGGAAAGCTTTGCAAGCAATTTAGTTTGCCTACCAGAATAATTTCTATGGAGGAAACTGTATTAAAATGTAATAGTGAAACCAATGAAAAATCCTTAATGGCTAAATACATTTAAGTAGTGTGGAATTCACAAGATAAAATACGTGAAATGACAAGTGGCAGGTAAGAGTGATGTAGAAATGAGTGAGTGAAAAAATGGTTAAGCATGAAATGAAGTGGTTGTGAAATGCAAAGCATAAAGTATATAACAGTTTTTAATTTATACTCTCTACATAATGCATGCAAATAATGTAGAATAAATATTTTTCATCTAATGAAATGAACTACAATCCAAGAAATATATGCCGTAATAAACCTGTTTATCTTAACTTGTCACAAGATTCTCTTGGTTTATGTATAACTTACAACCACAATTGAGACTGGAATTTCAGTCTCTTAAGTGATTGAGTCATCACATGACTAGATTTGATTTTATTAAAAATGTAACCATGTTGTTAAACCTAGTCATGTAGTAATTAAGTGTATCATACAGTGTTAAGCGAATTCGGCTTCCCCAAGGAGGGGAAGTATTGCAGGCTAACTCTGCCCACAGTTTGGAGTTCGATTCTGATGGGGCTCAAGGTTAACTCAACCTTCCTTCCTTCCAAGAGTAATAAAATGAGGACCCAGATTGTTGGAGGCAATATGCTGACATTGTAAACCACTTAGAGAGTGAGGTGGTGCATTTGGAAATCCCATTGAAAAGCAACTGTAGGGCAGGAAAACCTTTTAGCTGTTTTTATATCAATCTGTGTTGGCAGGACTTCTTCAAATTTTTGAAGATATTTTGTTGTACACAAAGTATAGCTGTTATTAACAGTTTATTCGAAACACATTTTATAAATTATTTAAGTTTAATTTTTTTTAACATAAAGTGTGGTTCTTTCTCCTCCAAAATACCATGCTACTTCCTGTGTACTTCTCTCCCTTTTTGTCACAAAGACCAGAAACTTGTATTTGTTTATTTCAGTTTTGGGGCTAAAATACTGGAAGCTGGAACAGGCTGCCTGGAGTTGATGTACATATTTCATGAACAAACAGCAATTAGAATTGTTTGAGTGCTTGAAGCATGTCGATACTTTTCAATATTGTGTTCTTATACCCTGGCAGAAAAATCAAGTGGAATGACTAAACTTCGACACAGTAACAAGCATATAGGATACATTAAGAAGCATAGTACAGTCTCAGCTCAAAGGGCATTCTAAACATTATATAGAAAAAAAGAAAAAGCAGATAGGAAAAGAGCTCTTTCAGGAAAGACCTATAAGAACAGATTGGATTGCCTGAGAAAAGGCTGACCTTCAAATAATTTGGACTTGAGTTATTTGGGACTTTGATAGCTACATTAACTTATTGCAAGTATGTGTCATGGACTAATAGAGTTACCTCATTCCATGAGATGATGCTTGATCGTCATTTATTTATTTTTCAAATTTATATGGCCAACCATCTCACGGAGAGTGACTCTGATTTGCGTACAACAATCCAGTAAAATAATAAATATAAAACAATCATTACCTATAACCATTAAAAACATTAAAAATATAAAAATGGACAGAGGGATGTTAATAATGGACCCATAAGTTTATGTCTGCGGGCATACCTGGGCCTTGAGGGTTCTTCAAAAGCTCAGGTGTGATGAGGCCAAACTCATCTCTGGTGCAGAGATTCCACAATGCAGCAGAAAAGACCTGTCTCCCAGAACTCATCAAATGTAGCTCGCAATACAGTTGAACCATAACATGCCCATTCTGTTGGATCTTGTGGGACAGGCAGCTGAACTTTCCAACTTATAAGCTGTGTCACAATTCTTGATCAAAAACTGAGAACACAATCTAATCTGTAAAGAACTGTGTCATTCCACTGAGTTCTAGCATGGCAACTGTGTTGGGTATATTAAAGTAAACGCTAGTATTTTATCTCACTTTGGTTAATGTAGATGCATAAAAATAACAGGATTTGTTTTCTTTCAGTTAGTACTGACTGTTAGATTGGAATAATTCATGTCTCAATACCTTTTTTTCTGTTGTTTTAAAATTCCACTCGTAGAAGCTTTTTTTAAAAGTTGTGATCAGTATTAAGGGTTTTTACTAATGGGGTTTGTTTGTTTGTTTTCAGAGTAACCTTGCATGCTGAAATAGGGTTCACATTCCAGCCAATATGACTTGACTTCCTATGACTTCAGGCCACAAACACAGTGCATACTCTTACATGTAGATTTCTCTAGTATTTTTAATATATACATTAAGATCACACTTGGAATACCATATGTAGTTTTCTTCATAAAAATGTTGCGCTGGAAAATATAGAAAGAGGAACAATCAGGATGATTATTCTCCTGCTCTCACAAGAGAGAATATACAATCATGTCTTTTTAACTTAAAGGCAATGTTTCTCAACCATAACAATGTTAAGATGTGAGGACTTCAGCTCCCGGCATTTTCCAGCTAGCATGCTGAATTCTGGGAGTTGAAATCCACGCATCTTAAAGTTGTCAAGATTGAGAAACACAGACTGATAGGTAAAGGCATTTTATTAATTCAGTTGCACTACAGAATGAGCTGCCATCAGATGTGATGATCACTAATTTAGCTTGTTTTAAAAGAGGATTGGCTTCTGGTTTTGATGGCTGTGTGTTATTTCCTCAATCATAGGTAGCATACCTGATAAACAAGGTATGTTTTCCCCTACAGCAGTTAAAGCAACTGGAAATATTTTTGAGTTGGGAAAAGAGTTGGTGTGGATAAAATAAAACTTGGATCTGCCCTTTTAATCCCCTAATTGTCACGCTTTCACTTCAAAATAAAATGTCAGCAGAGCAACTCATGGGTGTCCAACTTTTTGGCTTGCATATGAAATATATAATATAGTTCGTGTATGTAAATCACATAATGTTAAAAGTTTGCAAACTTGTGGGACCTCATTACCAGCTGTCCAGGGCTGCATGCAACCTACTGGCCACATATTGGACAAGCTTGGTGTAGATTTATATGTTAATTTCCTGTATTTACTAATTTATTGTATTTAGATCTACATGAGTTCTTTTCCTACTTTTATCTGCTTGACAAGAATGATGAGAAATAGATTGGCGCAGTCATCCAGCAATCAGCAGCAGCAGGAATCACAGACAGCCCCTAGAATTTTCATTCTAATCTTAAACCTGGGGTTAGTTATTTTACATATAAAAGTGCTGTAATTAAGTTTTGTAAAGGCTTGCATATATAACATAAGTTAAACAAGATCGTGTTGACCACTATTATTTGCATGTTGTCAGCTTCAGAAGGCTTTTGGGAATTGGAAAT